GGGGGGCTCTCGTGGTCAAGAGGTTATGGTGTTCGCCTCTCATTCAATAGGTCCCAGATTGGAATCCTGAAAGCAACGGAATATTTTCTTCTCTAAAAATTATTTTCTCCTTTCACCTCCTTTCCTGCTCTCTAATCATGTTCTGTCATCTGTTTTCGTTTTAACTTTCTACCACCTCCCCTTTTGCCCCCTCTTCTGGGCTTCTTTCTCTTTCTGCAGCCTTTCTACTGCTACTCCTTGGCTCCTTATTGCTGTCTTTCAGCCACACCCCTGATCTTAGGGTAGGTAAGATCTCCTAGCCTTCTCGGATACGGGTGGAAAAAACCCTCGGAGGTCAAGTGTGCAAGTTGTGCACGTTAAAGACCCCTTGGTGGTCCTGCAATCGGTAAGAATAGGCAACGGCCGCCACCCAGGAAAATTTTTAATTAATGCTGACTAAACTGAAAATGCTTTATGTGTCCTGCGCACTCATATGTGAGGCAGCGTCGTGGAATCAGGCTCTCGTCAAAATAATAAAAGTGAAGAAACTTGCATTTTTTCGCAGGTTTGTGGATTTTTATCAAATATTTGATTTTTGGCTCAACACCTTTCATGCCCATTAAAGAACTAGTTTCTGTGTGAATTTTTCTGAAAAACGTAGATTAAAGGCACAAAAAATGTAAATTTTCAGTTACCACGGAATCTTAAGCTAAGGAAATAAATAATCTTTGGAGGGCATTTTCTCACTAATTTTACCTCTGAAAACAGGTGACGCCCACCTCTTTCTTTCGCAAAAATCGCGACTTGTATTCAAGAGAAATGGATATTTTTTTCATCCAAATAAACACAAGGGAACAACCTTTAAGATTATTCCAATAACTCTACATGCCCAAAAATTGACGAGAGCCTGACTCCACCACGCTACCTCACTTGGTCTTATGCAGTTGCGAGCGCCGGAAAAACACTTTTTAAAAAAGTTTCGTTTCTGAATCATTGTATCTCTTATCATTTCTGTACTGGCGCATTTTCTCCATTTCCTTCATCCTTACGGTAGCCTTCTAACAATTCCTTTTCAAATTTCTTTTAGTGGTATTCACAATATTAGGTTTCTTTTCCTTGTTGATCTCTGTTTTTCCGCCTCATCGAATCCCAGTCTCTCACCTCACTGAATTTCTTTCCAAATTTTCTCGGGAGAGGAGGGGGGAGGGGAGAAGGTACTATGCTGTCTTTCTGACCATAGTCTTCCTAGAAGACTCCTGAACTCTGTTCATTTCAGCACAATGGGTACATCCTCGGTGACACTTGCATCCAATTGTACAATGACGCCCTGGCTGCACATTCTTAGTACTTGTCATTTTCCGTGCTTTTCTGGAACATTTCCTTCAGAAATTCCTTTTTCCAAACTGCCGCAGCTCATTATTAAGAGACGAAATAACGTCAGTATCTTTGTTTTTGTTGCCTCAGCAAGCCAGTTTGTTTTTTTTTATTGTTATTATCTGAAGTTGGACACTTTCTTCTCTTTTAAGTCGATTGCCGTAGCTTTTCTATTTCCCTCAAATCTAGTAGACACATGTTTTCTGAAGGAAGGTTTTACCGAATTCTGTACGTTAGTGCATAAAAAGGAATGCTGAGGCGAGTTTTAAACCAAAGGGGGAAGTGGGGTTAAAAAATATTATTTCCTTTCGTAAAACTAAAGGACACAATTTTTAAAAATCTAGAGTTGAATTATACCTTTTCGACTGTTAATAGTTCTATAACACGGTAGAACTATTCCATGTAAATCCAAGTATGCTAGTTTTTCTTGAAACCTTTCAGTTTGTATTTTTGTTTTCTTATAAGAGTTCTCCTGTCTACAAAAGTTGCATCATTTCTCATTGAATCAAAGCTATGTTTTGAAATATTTGTTTCCAAATTGTACCGTTTAAGTATATTCTAAATATTTTCTTCAGCTTGACTCCTTTTATCTGTGATGCATAGCTAAACAAGAATAAATACTGATGATGGCATAATCAATGAGATCATGCAGTTGGTTAAGCTGGTATCTTTGGAAATACAAATAACCATGATGCGAATCACATTGGGATGTTCTTGACCTTGGGTAGATAGGGTAGTTGTCGAGGTTCTCGAGTTCAGATTCGTTGTGTACAATTGGAGAGAGAGGTACAATTGCATCACAGACAGCGGCATGAACCTCTGCGGTGCACATTTTTCCAAACAGCATGAACTAAGGTGCGACACAATGTTTTTAAAATACCGATAACACGGATAAGCCCATGCTTCATATCCAACCCAGAAACCTTTCTTTCAGACAATATATTATTTAACGGGAATAACACAACAT